AGAAGAGCACCAATAAAAGTTTTCCCTAATCTAGACTTGAGCTTGATAAATTACATTACACATCCTATTACAAAGTTGTCAAGGGAAGCCAAAAGAAAATAGTAAAAACCATACATTAACACTTTGCCAAGCAATTACTATTCACAACAAATTATTTTTTTTATATATATTTATAAGATTAATTTTGATAAGATTTTCGGGTAAAATTTTCGGTTGCCACGTGTCCATATTTATTATAAAATTCACATCTCAGATTTCGAATAAAATATTTGGATAAGATTTCTGGTGGCCATGTGTCCATATTTATTATAAAATTCACATCTCAGATTTCGAATAAAATATTTGGATAAGATTTCTGGTGGCCATGTGTCCATATTTATTATAAAATTCACATCTCAGATTTCGGATAAGATTTTTGGTTGCTACTATTGCGCCACGTGTCATCTCTATCTTCTAAATCCTATTATAAAACCACACCATCAAGTCACACCAATCATCGATATCCTCTCTATCCTTTCATTTATCAGATTTTACAAAACACATTCTATTTTCAATGTCTTACATGAGAAGGTTGTTGGGGAGGGTCGAGTGAGAAAATGAAGAAAGAATGCACAAACGTGCTCAGGAAGAAAGGGAGTGGGAAGCAGAAGATGATCAAGTTGTTTTAAAGGTGGGTATGCTCGATCAATCAAGCCAACACCACTGTGGCGGCCGTGGCCTGAAAGTGGACAAACCTAGGCACTCTCGAGGTAAGAATCTCTTGGAATATTACTTTATCCCAAATTCGTTGTACTCTAGTGTTGATTTTTTAGGGCGATATATAATGCAACCTCATTTGTTCAATAAAATCATGCATGTTGTTTGCAATTACGACACATACTTCGTTCAGAAGTACGATGCTCTTGGGGTTTTGGGTTTTTTTTCTGGAGTAAAAACTTACAGCTTCTTTACAGCTGCTTGCGTATAGCACATTTGTAGACCAAGTGGATAAGACTGCTCGAGTGGGAAAATCCACTATCCTAGAATGCTTGCACAAATTATATATTGATGTCTTCCATAAATACTATACGTTGCAAAGACAATTCAGATGGTAAATAAATATCTAAGCAATAGAAAGAAATAATGAGAAAATATTATAATTACCAAAGAAGACAGTGATATATATACAAAAGGTTGTTATACTGTGACACAAATTCGCCACAAATCAAGATGTTTTTTTTTTTTTTTTTATGACCTTTACTTTTGAGAGGGGCGATAACATACTAAATTCACACACACTAGATGGATACTAGGATTCAAACCCAATATCTTTCTTGAGGGAGCATTTCCTTCAAACCACTACACTAGAGAAGATGAAAACAAGAAGTGATGAAGTTGAAGCGACGTGGCAGATGAGAGTTTGCAGTCAGGGTTTTCTTATTATTTTTTATTTGAAGATAACGGATGTTTTTTTTTTTTTTCAGTTGGTAAGGTTCACACTGTTAAGGCTGGGTCAAGTGGTGTGAAATGAAAGAACATGTGTCAAAATTCCAAATAGGGAATAGAGGGGGAACAAAGAAAATGGGGACAGAAGATCTAAACTCTATAAATAGGGCCCAAAATATAGAAAAACTCTACAATACTCAATTCTTAGTTAAAAAAAAAACCCATTTGACTTTTGAAAAACCATAAAATTACAACAATGTCATCAATGTACCAAAAAATTACAACAATGTCATCATTGTTTTTTTTTCCCTAAAAATCATAATGCTAGGATACTAATGGTATTTCACACATCATTCAAATTTTTTATAAATAGATAATAAATTCAAAATTATAAAAATAAAAATAAAAAAAATAAAAATAAAAAACTACTCTTGGTCCTTTTTGAGTTTTTTTTTTTTTTTTTTTTCCTTCTTCAATTCAAATCTTTTAGGGTTCATATGTAAATTCAATGCTAGAAATGTGTTTTATTATAAATTTCCCTTAATTATTGGAGGTATATAGATGATTCTTGATTGGTTGGGAGTATAACGGTCATGACACCAAATCAAGTTGTTGAGTCTGACAGTATGAAAAAAAAGAAGTTTCACTAAAACACCCAAAATGGGGGCTGAAATTATAAAAAAACCCAACACCCAAAACACTTTATAAACACACTCAAAACCCATCATTATACACACTCAAAACCCATTTATAAACACACCCAAAAAATATACAATTGTTGATTTTGGAGTTGATTTTGGGTGTGTTTCTATGTTTAAATAGTGTTTGGGTTTTTTTATAAATACATGTCTAGGATTGGGTTTATTTATAAATTTGTAAAAAAAAAAGAAAAGGGAGATACTGTAACACCAAATTACAAAATTGAAGAGGGGAAATAATGAACCAAATTATCCTTACATCGGCAAGAAACCAAAGTCTAAGTATTATTCTGTTTGTCTTGATCGATCAAGTAGTTTCCTTGTTGTCTTGATCAACTAATTTTTCTTTGCACAGATATTTGTGTGTCGAAAATTTGACTATCTATCAACCAATGACTAACTTCTAGATTATATTATAAGTAACAATTTCTACTACTATATAGTTATTTATGTTGCAGGTAAAGTGAAGATTCACTCTGCTGCTTCATCACGTTACCTCAATTTGTCTGGCGACCTCTTTTTTTGGCAATGACGTTGGAGGTCAGACCTACCCACTCCCTTTTAAAAAATAATAATAATAATAAATGTGGTCAGCTTTTCAAATCTTTTTAAGTGTTGTTTAAAAACAATTATAAAAAAGTCTTGTTCATGACCATTGGAGATCAAACATTGAAACCCATCCTCTCTTTTTTTGTCTTCACATTTTTAAATGTTTGGTATTGTTTAAAAAAATTATAAAAAATTCTGGGTCATGACCGTTGAAGGTCAGACCCTTGAAACCCTTCCAATTTATTTGTTTTTAATTGCCTTTTTTGGCTTTATTTATTTATTTTTAATAGTAGTTTAATTAAATTAAATAATATATGGTTGAAGCCCTGCACTATTCTTTAAAAAATTAATATTTTGGGGGTTTAAATTTTTAGCCCTAGACTACATTTAGCCATACGGCTGGAGATGACCTTACTATTGATTTGGCTCCTAGGAAACTTGTCATCCCCAATCATTTTTATTTTATTTTTAATATAAGCGATAATCTAAACTACGAAGGGAAGGGAGTTTCTCAACACATACACTACCAAAGTGCCATGGGAATTTGAACTTGAGTTCATTGGTCTACATATCAAAACCCTTTTCAATTGTGCTAGACTTCGTTGGCCACACCAGTCTATTCTTAATTTGCTTGTTGAGGATTGCGTTAGGTTTTGTAATTAGGAGCAAATTATGGTTCACTAGTATTCGATGCGAAAACAAGGGCAAATCTACATGCCACTCCAGCCCAATGCTAAATTTTTAGAATATACAAACATATGCAGTTGTTCAAGCCCAAACTAGGTAAATCAAATATTAGCACACCCCTCTATTTAAAATAACGCCACCTCTGCATAAATCCAACCATTGGATTGACTAGAATACATGTGATGCAACTTTGGAGCATGTTTGATGCATTTTTATAATAAGGATAAATACTTTTTTTATATAATAAATATTGTTAATATGTGGTCTTGTTGGCCTCACCACCTCCTAAAATAAGGCCCCACATGCCTCCATAAAGGTAAATATAATAGATTGTTTATTATAAAGGTGAATGATAATTTCCTTTTGGATTAACGACATTTCACTCTATTGAGATTTAGGGTTTGTATCGAAATGGGTCTCGAGGTTTCAATTTCTTTGATTCCAAATCCTGTCTTAACATCCTCAATACTTAATATATTTCATCTAAAGCCAAGCAAGAAAGGAGCTGATACTTTTAAAGCACCACTAGCCTCAACTTCATGTCAACTGATGCTTCAACTGCAAGATCAAATGGTGTAGATGAACTTCATGTCAACTGATGCTTCAACTGCAAGATCAAATGGTGTAGATGAAGCATAATGAAGAAAGGTATCATTAAGGTATAGGGTTGTTAGATTAGCATTTTGTGATGGATTAGATGGTTTTTGTTGTTGGTTAATTGGTCCTAGGGTTTAGGCCTTGTTGTTTTTGGTAAATTGGTCCTAGAGTCTGCCTACAAGAGTGCCTATGATCTGCTGGCCATTCTTTGATGACCAGAGAACCAATTGTTATTATACTTGCAATGAATTGGGCAGTGGCATGGAGATTGATAACAATGTCAAGAGAGATGAAGTGGAGATGCTTGTTAGAGAGTTGATGGAGGGAGAGAAGGATAAGAAATTGAAAAGGTAGGCTAAGGAGTGGAAGAAACTAGCAGAAAATGCAACTGATCCACATGGCTCCTCATCCATAAACTTAGATAATTTAGTCCATCAAGTGCTGTTAAGAAAAAAACTAGATGTTATCCATATAAATAAAAAATCGCCACATTATTGTTGGTATGATGTCATGCGGAGTTGGAATAGTACATAAAATATTAGCTACGGATCTCCTTCGGCCACGGGGATTATGTAGCCACAATTGCACCGTGGCTTATGTATTTGAGGCTACATGTACCGAAGACTTAAAATCAAGAAAAAGGATTCTTAGTTATTTATGTTCCACTTTGTTACTTCATCTAAGTCTTTTTGTCGTAAGTTTGACTATCTATCAACTGACTTTTCTTTGCACAGTTACTTGTGTCTCCAAAATTTGACTATCTATCAACCAATGATTAACTCGTAGATTAGTTATTTATGTTGCAGGTAAAGTGAAGATCCAATTTGTCTGACAGCTAGACTTCTTTTTTGGACATTATCCTAAGTTTCCTATTTTGACTAGTTTTGCTTTATAAATTATCTAATTTGTAGACAATTAGTTATTTATATTATTATAAGCAACAATTTCTACCACAACTTTTACCATTATTTATATAATCATAAGTTGACTATCCATCAATGACGAACTTTTCGAAATGCTTGACCAAAAAGATTTAAATTCAAAAAGATTTAAAACATTTAATCATATTTTGTTGACTATTAGTGATGTGACAATTTCTACATATATAGTCCCTTTTTATTGAGAGATTCTTCAAATAATTTTATTTGAAGGACATACTTTAGGGAACCTTACGAATTTTTTTTCAACAATCCAAACCGTCTATTTTTCAAATCTTCACTCATAGATCATCCTTGTAAAAAAATCAGACAAATTGAAAATCATTATGACATCTAATAGAAATCAACAAAATCAATAAACACGATTCTTCAAGAGAGTGCTTAAATTTCAATAATTTAATTGAATGGTCAAATGATATCGGATTCAAGTGATTTTTTGTAGAGATGATCTTTGAATGAATATCTACACAAATAGACAGTTTGGATTAGTGAAATAAAATAATATGTATTTGCATTTTGCAAGCACTCCAATGATTTTGGCTTAATTATTGTTATACCCCTTGAAACGGGCACTTGGTCTCACTTTACCCTTAGAACTTAAAATTTCTCACTTAACTCCCAAAATCTCTAAAAATTGCTAAAATTTTCTCACTTTACCACTTTTGTCCATTTCTATTCACAAAACCGTTAAGTGTACTGACGTGGTAGGGGAATTTTAATAATTTAGCTATTAAAATACTTTATAATCCAAATTAAATATTAAAAAATAGATTTAGATTATTTTTTTTAAAATTAACTACACATAGCCATCACCACAAACACATCCCACCCCCACTCTCGATCATCCTCATCCACCATCATCCAAACCCAATAAC